AACCAACACAAGAAACTTGCTGCTCATCTCGGGCACGAGTCGAGCCAACAAACAATTCGATCTACTTAACACCTACACTTGCCGGAACAATTCAAACTAACTCACCATGCATCAAATAAAAATTGAACAAGTTCGACTTGATTTACACCAATATACATTGGAAAAGGACTAAAATAGACAACAAAAATATCAGTATGTTCCACATTCTTAGATAAAGTAGTAGTTCTTGCTCTCTCTAGAGCCAAAGGTATATTCAGATAACCTTTCTTCGAGAAAAAAATAGCAATTTTCAAGAAAAATAAGAATCCCTTTTAGTGTTTTCAAATAGTAAGCTTTCTGAATTTCTTGTTGACTGTGTCTCTTCTGATTATCAGTATGTCTATCATCAATGTTTTTCTGGGTAGGAAAGATCTGTTTTTCTGAAACAAATGGAACGTACAAATTGAGATCTGGGATTACAATAATTGAATTGGCATATTTAATTTGTTATTTGCGGTTTGTGAATTTATGTGTGTTGATGATACTTCTAACCCGAATCCAAGAAAGAGATTTGATTTTGATTATCTGAAACTGGAAACAAAAAAATAATTCAAATACACTCTTTTACATTCAAAGAGCTTTTGATTCTACTCGCGATCAAAACTTGATTCCAGTCCTCCTTTAGCTTTATAACTAATAATTCAAATATTATTTTGATCAGATATTTGCGAAGATGAGGAAAGGTGGGCTATGGCAACTTGGTCAATCGATAACTCGCCGTGTGGCCCAGGATAAGAAAACTATAGTTCGTCGATGCTTTGCATCAGAAGCTGAGCTCGAGAAGACAGCTCTTTATGATTTCCATGTTGCCAACGGGGGAAGATGGTTCCATTTGCTGGTTGGAGCATGCCAATCCAATACAAGGACTCAATTATGGACTCTACATTAAATTGCACGAAAACTGGCAGTCTATTTGACATTGCTCATATGTGTGGTCTAAGCCTCAAAGGAAAGGATTGTATTCATTTTCTTGAAAAGCTGGTGGTTGCCGATCTTGTCGATCTTGCACCTGGTTCTAAGACTCTTACAGTCTTCACTAATGAGAAGGGAGGGGCTATTGATGATTTAGTGATCACTAAGGTGACAGATGATCACATATACTTGGTCGTGAATACTAGATGCAGAGATAAGGATCTTGCTCATATTGAGGAACATATGAAGGCATCATGTCAAAAGCTAGGGATGTGTCATGGCACATCCATGATGAACGGTCTCTTCTAGCTCTCCAAGTGAGTTATCTCTTTTCTTCGGTGTTTATCTATATATTATATGATAATAAAATTTAAAACTCGTCTTATTTCTATAGGACATGAATATATATATATATGTGTGTGTGTGTGTGTGTGTGTGTGTGTGTGTTGAGCCCCATTTTATTGTAAGAATGCATTTTGGAATAGTAGATTGATTGAGAATGTAGGGTTAAAAATAAGGAAAAGTTTTGGGTTTACGTTTAATATTATTTTATTGAAGAATGTGTGGTTGAAAATAAGATAGAGAACAATGTATATTGAAAATAATGAGGATCAAACAAGGGAAGGGCATATATATATATTTCCTCGTCCTGCCTTGTTCTCAGATGTTTGCCCATGCTCTTTCTTACAATTATGGTAGTATGATGCATATTGAAGAATGCACTATAACTCTGTACCCTTAAGTTTTTTGCTGTGCTAACATAGGCATCGGAAATAACAATATAGTCATTTTTGCGATGTAAAGTAGCTTGACTTTCCATGGTGCTTGCTTCTTGAATGCATTGGTAGGTCATTGGGAACACTGAGTCTACTTGTGGTCTATCATTTTCAATTCTCATGTACTGAATTGATTCGCTTGCTCTGTTGCTATAAATGAAGATATATTTTGTCCTTGGATATTCATTGAGGCAGTTGTCTTTCTTTACTGTACTTTTTTCTTTATCGATTTTTGATTTCCGTGCATATGCTCTTGAATCCACGTGTTTAAAATAATTATAATTGGAGGGAGACACTGATATTTTTAGCTTCTGATGATCTATAGCGGCCATGCCTGAAAGTATAAGCCCCATAGTAGCGAAAATTTTATTCAACTTCAGGGCTATGCTGCCTAATCTTATGTAATATTCTTTATCTTTTCTCTTCAAAACT